TGCCTTCGCGTACAGGATCGTCATCAGAACTTCTTCCACCTGAAGCATGTTCAGTTAGCTTATTGTTTCTAATAGCTTCTTGTTACTACTAGTAAGGCACGTGTTACTACTAGCGTGGCACTTGTTACTAGTAAGCTCTGGAATATGTTCAGCTCTCGTGCTGATGAAAGGAACCCTGGCCCACCACTCACATCGGTGAAGGCCCCATACACCATGTGATGGGGAGGCCTGGTCAAGTGCTGAAGGCTCTGATGCGTGGAGAACGACAAACCTGAAGCCTTACACTCCATGAAAGAATCACCCTAGCCTTCCAAGACCGCTTTAAACAGGGTTGACCTGCTTTTCAAGTGTGTAAGTTCCAATCGCTAAGACGATCTCGTTGTGTGGCTCCGGTTCAGCACCTGAAGAAGAAGAAGAAGAAGGAGGTGAGCTTCGGAGCTTCGCGAGCTTTTCCCGAACGCGTTTCGCGCGCCGATCCGCCTCGTCCACGAAAAAAAAGGAAACAATGTCATCCAGGCAGCACGCTCAGCTGTATTTCACGGCCTCGCGGGGCGCTCTTGAGGCAGGGTTTCGAGGATTCCATTGATTGAATGGGTGTTTCATCCCAAACAACCAATATTAGACTGTATATATTATATAACTATACCTAAGACTCCAAGTCCGGGCCCAACACCCAGGGGTCGGACTGGACCACCGATCTTTGTGGTTTGGGGAGAGTCTGGACCCGTTTCCGCCTTCACATTTGAGGTCCCGGATTCTTTGGACTAGTAGCGAACCTCGCTCCCTTCGCTTGTACGGCCAGCCCCGGAGCGAAGCCGTCCGATCGCGAACCGGACTCGGGACTCGATGCCACGTTCGCCCCGTTCATAGCGAACATTGTTATAAATCTGCTGGCCGAACCGTTCCCAAACGCTACGAGTTTGATTTGCTGCTTGAAACATCGAAGCAAACGAGCTCCTCTCCAGAGGGCCAGTCATGACTCGTTTCACTCGTTCCCTAGGGATCCGGATAAGTACCTTCTCAGAAGGTGGACAGTGTCGAACACATCACCTTCTCAGACTATGTGGATCCCTGGGATTGGAAGACCCCGTGTGGTCCATATGACGGTGTGTTTCGGGTCCGGACCCCTGAAACGGTGGAGGTCCGGTCCGACCCCTGGCCATGGAAGGCCCGTTCGGATTCTTAAGGCAGGTGATACAAAATAGTCACGGTTGGAAGTTCTGGGAGAGGTTGAACCATTGACCATCGACATACAGCTAGCAGCTAAAACCCACACACTCACAGCCGGTCTCCAGAGGGTTCGGGATCACGCCCGGGAACGACTTCAGACATCCCCGACTCTTAATCGATGTCAAAGGAACCTCATTGGAACCGCTTAAACATCGATTGAAACCTAAAAAGCTTAAACATCGAAAGCCCCCTGGGTCCGGGTCCACTTCAGCCCTGCAGGTATCAGCATCCGTTGAAAGGAAGTGACCCTTCGAGGGAAGCGACCGAGAAGCCAATCGATGATGATCCACCCTCTCTTCAGAGAAGACGAATACAGTAGAGGTACACCAGTATGTCCTTCTGGAAGCCCTTCGATATAGCTTCCAATTGATATAGTGGATTGAGAGTAGATGGCACAGACTCCAAGAGGTGGTTTATATGAACCCCCATGTAAAGGACATCTTGAGGTCTGTGCCATCTACTCTGAAACCACTGTACCATAGAAAGCTACTCCCCGGAATACTCCTGGAAATGCATGGATTCTCTGCAGCTGTCTCAAGTGTCCCAGCAGGGTTTGCACTGGGGGTCGGTGCTACCCGGCGGGTGAACTCCTCTGGTGGGCTGACCACAACTATAGGTCTGGTGATGACCTTTGACCACCTGGTTGGTCGATTCGAAGGGTCAGGGGATATGAACGGAAAGTGTCCAACTGGTAGCCTCCCTGATGTTTTGTTCAGGAAGTGAAAGACCGTGTGTTTGTAGAGGAAATGGTCATCCAAGGGTCCATGCCATCCACTTCCACTCATGAAATACATGCATGAATTCATGCATTTCCCACATCGGGAAGTCCCTCTCCCACTTGAAATGAGTAGTAATGAGTACTGAGTACAGTATCACTTACTGACTGAACCCTCCACACTCTTGAACTTGGGGACCTCCTAGCAATTGACCTTCACATCTTGGGTCAACTCATTTGAGGGATCGACCAAAATTTACCAAACATTCCTCTACCAGCACCCTCACTGACAGGTCACCATCTGCCACTTTAATCTAAAAGCCACCGGAGACCTTTTTCGAGGAAAGGGTGCTGGTACAGGACGTGGCCAGAATCTTCCAAGTCCGGTGGCTTCTTGGACACTCCCAACCCTAACCTCTTTACGAGGCTCTTTAAACTTTATAGCCCCCCGAATAGAGTCGGGTCCTGGGAAAGGTGAGTCTTCTCCCCAAGACCCATCTTTCCATCGTCCCCTCTCCATCTTTCCAGCGCATTCCGACCAACCTTCGTCCGTCCACTCCCGCGTCGCGGAGAGGACCCGCGGCCGCTTCCCGCAGCGTCCCGCGTGGCGGAACCCGCTCGGCTCCCGGACCACCTTTTCGTGCATCAGACTGGCACCATGCCTTTGTCGACCCGTGACCACATGACGGATGACTTGGTCAAAGTACCAGCACCCTCCAACAGGTGGTTTTTGGACACCTCAAGTCACCTCTAAAAGGCAATGTATAGACACCTCTTGGAAGGTCCTGGTAAGTGATGGTGGAGATTTGGACCATGTAAACATCAGCCTGAAATCCCAAGCACTTGTTCCTTGAGTGGGGTGGGTCATATATACATTCGAAGATATCTATATAGATATCTAATATCTTAAGATGCGTTTCCAGAACTTCCGCTGCGAGTCATATCCAAGCTGCTCGTCGTAGTCCTCAATTGACATCCAGAGGTCCTCCGCAAAGCAAGTTCAAGCGGAATCTCATGAAAGCTGCTTTGGTGGAAGACTTGGTCCAAATAACAGGCAGGATTCCTTGAACCATCACCAGCCGGATGGCAAGTCCTCTGCATGGTCAACCAACCCGGCCACTCTGATAGTTCGTTGGCTCCGGTCAGTTTGTTAAACAAACAAACAAGAAGAGAAAACATTGTTTCTACTAGCTTCTTGTTCCTAGTAGTAAGGCACTTGTTATTAGTAGCGATGCACTTGTTCCTAGTAACGAACATTGTTTCTATAAGCCCTCAAAAACCCGGAGAGGCTCCAGAATCTAGATCGCAATACTCAGCATCTCAACACCAAGACACATGAAGGTGGGTGAAATGGCACAGACAAGAAAAAGGGCCCCGAAAAGGGGAGTCCCCGTCCTCTCCTTCCTGCCCAAGGTAGAAGGCTCAAAAGGATGCATACTCTTTGAAGAAATCAATTTGGGCTTCAACTCTCAATCAATCAGCATCAATCCGCTGTGCTTTGTCAATTAAGGAGCCAGGAAATAGTTTCTTTTCTCAGGAAGGGGGCCATCCCTTCTCCGCTGAGCCGGGTGTGCGATTTGGAGCGATGGTGACCGGTCCAACGACACCAGATCCAACGACACCGGTCCAAGCGCAGTCAGCATGAGTTTACACTCTGACTGACTCACATCACATGGAAGAGGAAGACTACTGGTTCCGAAGAGAAGACTACCAGGAGTCAAGTGGTGTTTAGTCCCCAAGTGAGTGGATAATGGGCACCCCTAACCTCCATGGATCGCACCCCTTTGTGACTGCTGGTACTTTCCTTTTACGAACAGGGTGTTTTCCATGTTAGTGAGTCGGAGTGTACATCTACTTCACCTGCCATGGAGTTTGGGGTTTCGTTCCATCCAGCAGGTTCCATCCATCGCCGTGGTATGCAGATGGAATTCCAAGGGAGGTGAAGTGACCGTAAATAGGACCCGTCACCTGGGGTACCCGGCTGGACTAGTCGAACTAGGGTCCTTCAACCTGGAATTGAAACCGGAACGTTCTATCGAACATGCGACGGTGGCTGAACATCCACAGGTCCCAGTCATTTTCGCGACCCACGCAGCGACGGAGCGCGTCGTCTCCCAGGTGTGTGGGGCTCCTCTTGCATCTCTCGCAAGCTGGCGAAGACTTGGCCACCCGTCCAGACAGCACCTTGGAGCTGAACATTCAAAACAAGCATCGCTACGACTCGAACGGAGCGATCGGACGCTACGAACGGGGCTCCTGGCCGTATTACAGGAATAAACAGCTACTAGGGGCTCCTGGAAGGGGAGGAGTAGGCTCCAAACGGACGGAGGGGCCGCGCGGACCAACATGTGGCATGGGGCGTCGTCGTCTGCACCAACGCACGCGCAGGTTGGGTCAGGTTCCTTGGAAAAAACCACCATGTGTGTGTTTTGCAATGGTTTTGCCAAACATGCTGCTCAACAGACATGGTGTTGTTTGTACGTTGCTGGCCAAGGTACCCCCATGGCCCCAAGGTGCGAGTGATGCAGCCTGAGTTGCCTTGCATTATGGTCATGTCGTTTGTTTTCTAGTTATGTTTCTGGTCAAAGCAACAACCACCGCAACAACCACAAGTCTCACCTCTTTGCCCCCCTGAACCCGCTGCTGGCCCGCTTGTTAGGCGACTGCGCCCTTGAATAGAGTGGAGCCACCTTTTTCGAAGTCCTCCTCCTAGAGCCACTTCCATCTTCTTCCAGTTCAGGTTCTGTGCCATCTTCTAACCTCTTTCCATGTGGGGTTGAAATGTCAACAGTCTACACTTCCTGAAATCATCATGCTTTCGTGGAAAACCACCACCTGTTTGGCATTGTTTGGTCTTCAGATTTCATGGTTGTCTGTATGTGGGGCCACTGCATCCACGCGAGTACGCATGGATCCTTTGTTTTGCGAGTGTACATGCTATCCAGGACAACCCCCTGAAGAAGGGAAATAGATCGCAGTTGAATCATTTTCGCTTGGGAGGGACATATATACCGATCAATTGGTCTGGACTGATCAACCACCTGACCTGATCAGGTCAACGGTCTGGCCTGGAGGCCGAGTGTTTTCTCACACACGCACCGCGCGGCACCACCCTCCCAGAGGCCGGGGAACTGATCTGATCTTTGCTCTTGAGCACCCGGATGTCGCACTGCGCCGCCGCCGGCGCGTAGTTCTTCAGCTCCTTGGTGAGACGTTCACCTCAGCAGCCCGGTTCGACCTTCTTAGGGGGGAGACCACCAAACACAAACACACACCAGGGCCCCTAAGGTCCAGACCAGGGGTGTGTAGCTGCGAGGTATCCAGGGGTATCAACCACCCGGTGGCCCGGGGGCACAGGTCGCACTTGGAAACTGGATCTCAACCACTTTCGGCCCAAAAACCTCCAAGGTTTCCGGACATGTCGAGTCAGACCATGTCAGACCGACCCTTTTTGCTTCGTCCACGGCGACGATTTTTTCGGGGTTAACGGTTGTTGTCTCAGTGTCAGTTTGGTGTTACCCTCTCCAAGAATCGAAGTGGAGTTCGCACTTCCTTCGTAGAGGAACACAGCCTTCCAAGGGGTCACGTTCCACTTCCATGTTTGTTGGATGGAGGGTCATGTTTGTCCTTGAAATGCTTCGCTGCGGTTCGATCTCGATCTCACGACCTGCCAAGTGACTAAATCCTGGGAACATGGTGCAACCTGGCAGAGCAAGGACAAAAAAACGATGGAAAAAGCAAATCCACCCTCAAAAACGAACATGGAATCTGAGAATTGACCCATGGTTTCGACTCTATCTGTTCCTCTACAACCCAGTGGTTTTGGGGTTCTGTGTGGTCCTCTGCAGGGGTGGTAGAAAGCTGCAAGCTGTGCATCTGCAAATCTTATGGACCGATTTGGATTGAGCGGTCCGGTCCGTGAACACCTCCAGAGTTGTCCCATGATCTTAGCTGAAGAACATCCTGTGAGAACTGAAGAACATCTGCTGAAAAAAACCTTCCGTTCACAGGTCACGACATTGTCAAACTGGAGTTGGGCATACAAAAAAAACACTCAAAGACAAGGACGAAGACCTCATGAAAGACTTGTTCACTGGAGTTGGTCATATCTAAAACACCACTCAATGACTCAATGATGTTTTTCAGGACCAGGTTTGGACGTCTGTCGGACTGGACCTGTAGGGGTTCGACATCTATGACAATGACCATGGTACCAACGTCGGCCCAGCGTCACCCTCCCAACGCCAATGGCCATGGCCAGAATCACCACCCGTCCAAGCCGGAGGGGGGCCCAAAATGGCCCAAAGCACCAAGACTTCAACGATGGTTGAGTGTCGGAAATTCCGATTCCTCTGGAAGAAAAAGTCAAACAAAAATCATCACTGCCCAGATGTATAACCTGAACTCGGCCCCGAATCCTCTGGAGAGAGAGAGGTCTGCGGTCTCAAACCCCTAGGTTTTGAGGGACCAGTCGCTGGACGGAAAAAAAACCACGGGGTACACGGGACCATCGGGCAGACCACCAGGCAGCACCAGATTCAACATGTCTGATCCAAAAGTTCAAGATTCCAAGAACAATGTCAGACCTGACACCCTAATTAAGGAGATGGCCATGAGGGAACCTGGAAACGCATCCGGCTGTGATATCAGTTAAGAAATTTTGGAGTTTGCCTGTCCTGCAGATGTCCAGTATGGAATCCAACTTTAGAAAAACTTACCCGCAAAAAAAAATCATTGAGAAACTGTCGTGATGCAGTATCATATATAGTGATATAGTTCATTCGATACACACGACCGGGCCACAAGAAATGCACACTTGCAAAAATTGCTCAAGTCTTATGCAAGAGATCTTTCAGAATGAACTGGCTCCGGAGTGAAACAGCCCCCAGGTCGATGTGAAGAGATCACACACTCTCTTCGTCCTCTTTGACGCCCTCGCGCACCCAAACCCACTCGCAAACGGCACCGATCGGAAGAGATCTCCCGAACCGAGCGCGGACGCAACGAGCATTTCTCCTTCCCATGGCCGGTCGCCTCCGGACAGGACCACATTTCCCAGAAGCGTCTTGCGGATGTCCACCTCACATCTGCTGATGCCTCACATCTGCGAAGACGGGTGTGTGTGTGTGTTTCTGCGCTCCAGGTTCATGCGCAGACGAAGGAACACGCTACACGCTGCTTGCTTGCGTCACTTGCAGGCTGTCGGCGTTCCAAAAGCACCAGCGAGGCTGGCAGGTGCAGCGAGGCTGGCAAGTGTCAGGTTTTGTTCGGGCCTTCAACACGTGCCTTTATGTTCTAAACAACATGAGCATAGTTTGAGAATATCACAGACACCCAGCACCCAGTGGATGATTTACTTAGGTTTGCAGGCCTTTCTCAAAATATAGTGATACTCGTTTACCGACTGGTACTGGTTTACCGGAACACACCCTGGGCATAGCAGATGTTCTGATGCGGTTTCTTGGCTTCCCAGACGTGAAGTTCCAAACATCAAAAATCATCTGAGCCCACCTGTGGACACCTGTAGACCTTGGGTTTATCCTGGACTTGCTAGTTCAAGACCTCCATTTGCAGACCTGCTAGTCCAAGACCTTCACTTATGACCGACCTCGTTCCGCCCGGTGGTTTTGGGAACACCCCTGATCCTCTAAGCTTAGAGGGACACCGGTCCTGGGATAAGTCGGTTAGTGATTAGCATCAGGTGAAGGTGACCAAGGGCACTGGTGATTGTCACCGAGATTCCGCGAGTATTCCGAAAGAACAAAAAAATAGACGCTGGCTCTCAGTCCATTTACAAAGTAAGTGGTGAGTGACCGAGGTTTATAGGTTGATCAGTGGAAGAGCTGCAGGCACATTTTGCAGATCAAGTGATTAACCGCCCACAACGTGCGTATGTGGTTCCAAGCACCGGCCGTCTTCTTCCGATTTGACAAGGTGCGGATAGTTTGAGACAACTGCACACTACCAGGGACCATCCTGGACCTGGGTGTCCAGCCACTGGACCTGGGTGTCCAGCCACTGGACCACCCTGCACTACTATCTGGCATCTCCAGACAGGCCCAGCAGACAGGATGGTCCAGGTATCCGCAATCCTCCTCTTCATTGGATGGGGGGGGTTCAAGCGTGGAGGTTTTGACGGTGTCCGAGCTGTTGGACGACAGAGTCCTTAAGGACCTCAGGGACATCTTCTACCCAAATAACGTCGACAAGCTGCAACGCCTTTGGGGACACCCCACTGAACAGGAACTCATAGAACAACAACATCTACCAGGACCCCCCCATGGGGTGGTTAATGGACACCCCGAATCACAGCTAAGGGGCTATCAATAGACACCCCGAACGGAGGGTCCTGGTACTGCTTGTCAGGGAAACTGAGGGAGTCGGTTCTGACCAACGATTGATTCGGGGTGATCCATGAATTTGTCCCAGACACGACCCATGGGAGTGCCATATTTGCCAATCACTTGGGGTGGTTGACTGGGGGTCCTCCTGGTGTTGGCTTATCCCCACATTCCCAACAACAGACCGCGGTTTTGGGGTCTCCAGAAGTCTCCTCTTAAAAGCGAAATCATCCCAGGCAGCCAAGGGGCTATCCCAAACCATTCCTGCAACTCCGGTGCACTCCTCAGCTGTGGGGAATTTGGAAGGAGAAAAACCACCTCCCGGAAACCTCCCAGGTGGGAGAACCCCCACCACATCCGCAACCAAAGGATCACAACATGCGCACTACGTGGCGCGCCCAGGAGTGGCCCCGGAGGAAAAGGCAAAAAGCTGTCATCCGCTGCTCCATGTTTCGGAGGAGTTCTTTCGAGGGGTATGAAGGGTTGGGAGGATCAAATTCCACATCCATGTCAGCCACTCAGAGGTCTAATCACCTGACTGATCATAAAGGAAGAGGTTTGGGATACTGTACCGGAGCATGCATCCTGGCACCCGCTTCTTTAGGACAGTGGTCTTGTCAGCGCCACACGTCCTTGAAGGCATCGTGGAACTCTCAAACTGAAAACCTCTCTGGAAACAGGCATCAAAGGCTTCTGGCAACTTCATCCGCTGAAGAAAAACATGAAACGTGTGTATTTCAATTGGGGAGGGGACCTCCCAACCAAAATGGACTGTCAGACTGTCAGACTGCAGTCGTTCCGAACCTTCCGAACGGGGGGGGTGAAATTCCGCCCGTTTCCACACGTCAGGACACGTCCGTCCGTCGGTCTTTTCTCCTTTTCCGACCGGGTGCCATGTCTTTCTTCGCCCAGCGGCAAGGCCCACAAGCGAGGGATTGAACAGCGCCTCGGGGCATTTCCAGCGCTCGTCTTGCAGCCTCGGCGTAGGCCCCGGCGGCGAACGGCCGTGGAGAAGCGCGGAGAGCCGGAGGACATGCTGACGAAGCTGAGCGAAAACAGCGAGCTTTGGAATGCCTTTGGAAAGAAGGGGGGTGGAAGAAACCCCGTATCCTGTAGGGCTTCTTAGGTGGATACGTGGTGGGGATCAATGACGCAATTCTAAGTATAGTAGTAAAGTGAGAAGCCCTTAATATGTTGTCACCCCACTTCCCCAGCTGGAACACACCTCAAAAGTACTTCCGCCACGGGCTGGAATCCATTCTTGGCCTTCTTGGCCTTCTGGGCTGGCAACCCCAAGCTGAGCTCGACCGGATCTACCGTTCCCGGCGAGCCAGGATGGGACAGGATGAACGGTCGACACCAAATACGGCCTGAGGCTCCATCCTTGGCCTAGAGGGTTCCTAGAGGTTTCCACTGTGCAACATGTCTGCCGAAGTGGGGCAGGTTTGATGGAGCAGACATGTTGCAGAGTTGGAAGATCTATACCCCCGGACCCCTTGGACCTCCTTCTCTGGTAGAAACCTCTTCATATAGGGGCGTTACTAATCAAATCAAGAGTCGAGATTCTATACGTTCAGAGGCAAACCAATTCAAGGTCACGAGTCACGAACTGCTTCGGTTTTGGGGGCATGTCAACCTGCCTTGCACCTCTTCTTAACTCAAAACTCATTCCCTTCACTCAAAGTCTTAAGATTCCTCGTAAGAAGGAAGCTTCCTTGGGAATCGTTTCACTGGGAATCGTTTCACCTGTAGCACGAAGCCTTTTTGGTCTTTCAAGCTTCTTAGTAATAACCATATACCTCTCAAAACTCTTAAAAATATTTGGTCGCTCCTCACTCAAGGGCCCGAGGGGCACCGCACCCCCTCAGTCTTTCAGGCTTTCCGCGCCCCTCGCGCCCCACCACCGCTTTCCCCCGGCCACGGAAGCGCGAACTCCGAGGCGCTGGAGCGTGGGCCCCGAGTTGGGCAGCGAGAAGTCGGCGAACTCCGCCACCCTCGGGGCGGCCGACCGGCGGAGGCGAAGACTGGGCGGCTCTATGGTTTGGTCGAATTCATACATACACTAGAAGCATCCAGGCCCGTTCCGAACCGCACCGCAACGCATGGGGGTCGGGTTGGTGCAGAGGGGTCTCTGATTTCCCCAAAGATCGGTTTTTCAAAGGTCCAATTCCTGCGGTGTTGGGCCCGGACTCGGATTCGGAGGGTGGAACGGCTTTCGGATTGGTGGGTTTTTTTTCCGACCCTGGAGAGGATTGGATCAGATTTGGACTCCTCCACTCCAATGGCATGGTCTTTACATGTTAAAAGAACGTGGCAGATCTGAATCGCATGTCAGAAGTAGATCTTCACATGTCAGAGTCACAGATTAGGAACTGGTCCAGAGAGGTTGCTCACTTGGAGGATCTTCAGTTGGGGATTTGTGGCGCAGCGCGCCCCAAGGATCAGGGTAGCAAAGGATGGAGGTGTCCAGGGCCCTTTCGGCCGGTGGAGGTGAAGTCATCCGGCTGGCTCATTGTTGGCTCATACGGTCAAAACTGAATGTGAACGATCTGGTCACCCTCCCATTCCCGGTGAGGTCCCTTAGTCTTACCATGTCTAACCATGTCTTAGTTTGTTCATCACAAAACGATATACGCAAACACACCCAGCCAGGTTCAAAGCAAACCACAGCTACTGCCGTCAAGAGTTCCCAATTTGTTCTGCTTCCCAATTTCCAGAAACATCGCCACAAGAACAGTCCATCTCCGACTCAGGAGGGAAAGTGACTCGCTGGAGGGATCCTGGGCGATGTAACAAAGGTCTTCCTGGCGTGGCGGAGTTGGTCCGCGCGAAGCCAAGCCAATGGCAAGTTCGCCGAAGCTGCGGTAGGAGCACAGGAAAAAAGAGACATTCCAAGGACACCAAGAGGAGTCTGAAGTTGTTGTTCTCCAGTGGCCCAAAGGAAGTCTAAGAATCCAAGATTTGGGAACAGAGACATGCCTTCACAGGACCTTCACGTGATACTTGGGATGGTATGAAAGTCACTGGTCAAAGCGTACCAGGCGGGCCGCACTGGCAATCCCGCCATTGCTAGTACCTTCCTCAAGCAAAGAGAGATCTGTCATGCCTAGATCTTCCAAATGTGCGAAACGTCGGCCTTTGAGCTGAATTTATATATATATATAAAGGCAGAACTTCGGCACAGTTGGAAGAACTTCTGCTGGGTCTACTTTCCTTGGAACATGGAAGAGTATCTGTCCCAGAACCTCTGCATGAGGAGGGTTGCCCACGAAAAGCCAAGTATGGCACCCACTATGTACAATTGAATCCGTCTCACGATAAACGACCTCAAAAATGGATTGTCGTCGATATGTGTAACATGTTAGATAGTCTTATTATGTAGTAATTTCATACATGATGTACATACTAACATTACATCAATACACGCCCCATTTCAGACCAAAACATCAAAAGAACTCGAGTCAAGGTACCGGGTACCCAGTTCTGCTCAACACGGAACCGTGTTTGATGAATCCATCGGTCGGGAACGCGGGGAGCGGTAGAACCCCCAGACGCTCCGCGATGGTATTCATGTTGGAGAAATGTCTCAACAACTGGGGCGATCCAAATGTCAACCCTCCGCCAGTCTGGCCCGGGCCTTCATTTGCCGTGCTGCGCACTGCTGTTCAGTGGTCGTCAAGCGGCACTTCCCCTGCGCGGAAAAAGCGGGCGAAAAACAACGTTTGACACGTGGAAACTGCGTCCTCTGTCCAGTTTGGCCGTTTTCCACGCCAAGTGCGTGCGTAAATCCAAGCCAAGAATTGGATTATAACATGAAAACTGTGATGTTCCTATGCCAGAACCCCTGAACCTCAAGGGTTTGGAGGAGATTGGGTCACAAATGGGGTTGTGAGTAGGGTCTCAAATGTTGAAGTCCAGAAACCATGGAAGAATCAAATATGTATACTATATACGCAGCAGAGCAAATCCTTGGTGTTTCAGATAAGCACTCGTCTTGACATGCCTTGTACCTTCCTCAAGCCTCAGCCAAGCATGCTTAGCAATCTTCATGGTGTTAAGTTTACAGTGATTTCAGAGTAGATGGCGCAAAAACCCCAGATTACTTTAGATGGGTGTCCATGGTTTACCATCTTTTGGAGACTCTGCCATCTACTCCGAAACCACTGAACCACTGTGTTGGGATCCTGGATCAAGAAGTGTTCGCTCCACCCGATGTTCGGTGGACCTACCGACCTGACCTACCATGACCACCCCGACGCTGGAGGAAGAACAGCGAGCCGTATGAGCCTCGATTTGACCAGTTCCAACGTCTCTTAATGCCCCTTCCGCCACACGGGCCCGTTCCGCCCGTTCCGTTCGGCGAAAAAGGGTGAAACACCGGGTCCGTCCGGGTCACGCCCTGCATTTGCGGTGGAGTTTCGGTTCCGAGCCCTGCCAGGGAGGGCCCGGACTCGGATTCTGGTGAGAAGTTCAATGGTTAGAACAAATGGTTTTGGGAGGCTGGGAGGCTGGGGGCAGAGAAGTTGAGCCGGGCGAAGAAAAGAACAAATGTTTCTGAGTCGCCTTGGAATGCGTGACTGGACATCTATCTGAGGTATGTTACCAGATTTTCCAGGCGAGGTGTTTCACCAACTTAGAGGAAGCATCATCTCAAGTCTCTCCTCTAGCCTTCCATTCAACCATCAGAAAAATTTTAAAAAATCATGACTTGAACATCTCTCCTTGTAACAACAGCGTGTCTTCTTCAGGACAAACACACATGTTCGAGCTGGCAGAGGAATCCCTCCATCCCCCTCCAACTTCACCTCCCTTCCCAACTTGCCGAGCTCGCGTGATCGCCAAGCATATATACCCCGCAGCTTCCAAACCTTTAAAAAAGGACGTGTCTAGATTGAAACATCGGGTTTTACAGACCATCCAAGCCCCAAAGCTGGATGCCCACTCCAAATGCGGCCTCCATCGCGAGGAGCTTGCACATCAAGGTGTTCAGCTCCCTCCCTGCCAGGTCTAGGCCTGAGGCGGTCCATCAAGCGTCGTGCCCCACAGTCGAGCGGCGGCAAGCCGTGGGTACCAAGAGAGGTAAGAACAGTGACCTGACCAAAAAAAGGGGCCGTCACCTGGGGTACCCAACTGGGATAGTCTTTTTCAGGTTCTTCAACCTCGGTATGTGGGTTGTTCCTTCTGGGAGGTGTGTTCCGTTGGGGTTTTCCCTGAACAAAACGGTCACATCACATCCAAAGCATCGCAGTGGCGCCGTCCTTTTTGGGATCATCGAATCGTAGCGCTCGAAAGCCTGCGGCACTACCGTTTTTGAGGTGCAACATGTTGGGTAAACGGGGGGGGTTAGCCCCGGACGCAACGCACCGAGGGTCAAAAAACCTTGTTTTTTACAGGTTAAAGTGGCTTTCCGGACACTCAACTTATCGTCTTGCAACTCATGAGTTGCAAGACGACAAGTTGAATGCATTTTGACGGACGTATTCACCGACCCGCCTGCTCCTTGTCCATGGCGCGAAAGGGATTTTCCACCTGCTAGGCATTAGTCTTGGTCCCAGTGGAGCCATTTCAGCTCAGTATACATGGCAGCTGGCGGACAAGTGTCTTGCACAGCTTCTCTATGTATCCAGACAGCCTCGAGCATTGCGTCCAACCCGGGATGTTGGCTGAACCACAACGCTGCGAGGCCTTCAACGTGCTGGCGTTGAGCTTCGCGTCGCAACGGCCAAGCAAACCCATTCTACGCAGTGATTTTTTCATCACTGCTGCCAAGCTTTCTGTACCTTGGTCTCCACCAACGACCGTAACTTTGCTCTGTTTCTCGAGCAGCATGGGTCCCAGACAAGCGGGTCGTCCAGCGAACGAATCGTGACCGAGCGAACCTACAAGGAACCGGGTGGACCAATGAAGTACGTAGACGATGTACGCGAGTCGTAACCAGGATGAAACTGACCCC